GCTTCTGCCGGTGCCGTTGCTGCACGGCACGCACGGGGTGGCGTGCGGAGCCCTGCGCCCTTCAGATGAACACAGTTTAGCTGGGGAGCCCTGGCACTCTCTGCTCGGTGTCTGTCTCTTCCTGCTGCTGTGTTCTCACCATTTGGATTCAGATCACCCTGAAGTGGCACAGCCTCACCTTTGGTTTGGCACTTGCATGAGAACCACGCTGAACTGTTCCACACCACTTCGGGACAAAAGACCTGGGCTGGCCACTGATCACCTTGGACTCTAAGTGCTTTGACTGATTTTCTGGTACAGACTGGGCAGTGTTTAATGTGTACATAACTAAAAAGGCGCACACAAGTTTGATAAATCTTTTATTTTCCTCTGTCAAGCTTGCAGTCCCTTCATTCAGACAGCCAGATGTTACGCCAGACCTGTGAGAAGAAAGAGGAAAGGTATGTCAGGATGAACGGGTCCACGTGCAAAACGTTCTACTGACGATGTTATCGGAGTTGTACCCTAACGCCACAGGAAGAGAGGGTATTTGGAGAAATTAGGGATTTTCACTTTAAAGATGCAGAGGTCATCATGAGAAGAGAGAGGAAATATAATCCCTGTTGCAGGATTCTGCCATCCTGCAGCTTCTTGATGAGTGTTTACAAGGGTGAGGGAGCCAGGCTCTTCTTGGTAGTGTCAAATGATGTCATGAGGGGCTGTGGTCCCAAATAGCAGCTTGGAGATGTTCCAGCTGGACACAAAAGGAAAAAGAAGTCACTGGGAAGACAGTGCAGTGTGGGAACACGCTTCACACAGGGGCTGTGGAATATCTATCCTCAGAGGTTTTTGAGGCTTTGCGAGACAAAGAAATGATGACAGTCCCACCGTAAAGGGGAGATTGGACCAGAAACTTCATGAGGTGCCTTTGTAAAGCTTTTTGTGGTTCTGTGCTTCTAGAAATAATTCCTTGCAAAAGTTGCTCAGAAAATTCAGCAGCTCATGGACGTGTGGGAAATAATTGTCAGTAGCAAAAGATCAGTGATCTTGGTGGACTGTAGACCATGTTGTAAATCCAGAGTGCTGA